AATAACACAAATACTTATTTGGTTTATGGTGTAGATCTTCACCAGCATGATGTTCGGAAGGGAAAAACAAAATTTAAGACTTTCAAATTCTGTTCATCTATTTGGTGTGGCACAAAATAGAGAAGACAAATTGGAGATGATGTTTAACATCCAGCACAAAAGTTACAACACAATAGATTATTAAAGGCTGTAGATGCAGATTAAAGTCATAGATGCAGAAGCCTGATTTAAGCATCGACCTTGGTAAATGAACAAAATGCAGGCACAGGTACCAAATACAGAATCAAGTAATGCACAGTGGAAACAGCAATTGAGAAAATGTCAAGAGGAAACCCAGGGAGAATGGGCTTGTTTAGATTAAGTTTTGAGTAATTCAAAACAAGGTGAATTTCTTATGGTCATAGAATGTACAGAAACTGAAAATATGATCAACTGAGAAACTCAGCGTGTTCATGGTAAATTAAGGTATGAGGCAAAACGAACTACAGAAATAGTAAAAAAAGTAGTAGTAATAGATCAGCAAGGTGAGGTGCAGTCATCCAGATGATTTTTGTATTTTTCCAGTGCATTCATCAAAATGTTCACTTTGCTTGGGAATGCTTACTACATGTATTCCCTAGTTCCTGAGAGTCCAAAATTATGATGCTCAAAAAACCCAAAATAAAGCAAGAAGTGGGGAAAAGGATATTTTCTTTCCCTCACATTTTTTCCTCTTTAAATGTTTTTCATCTTTATTATTTAGAAAGGCTTGACTTAAAAATAAATCTTTTTACCTTAACAGTACTGTAAGAGAAAGAGGGATGATATATTCCCCCCTAAAGCTTAAATTACTTGAGTTGGAAGGTTACGTCAGTTGTAATGGAGACATCTTTTTCTTATGAGTGTTTTTGCAGACTTTGTTTTTATCTAATTTGTGTTAAAAAATACAAAGCAGCCATGATCTGAAGTAATGTGGCTTAATGTATTTCGACAGCCTTCATTTTCCCCTCTCTGCTTCATGTAATCAGCTTCCTACTTTTTCTTCAGCCATCTACTGCGTCTTCCAAAACAAGGATGAAATCTGTGATGTTAAAAAACCCCAAACCAAATAACAAATTTCTAAATGAAATGAAGACAACTTTTAAAAGTTCAATGAAAATGAATCCCCTCTATATCCTTTCTATACAGAAACAATGACAAGGTCAGAAACCCAGTTATCTTTCAACTTTCATCACCTCATTTCAGAACATCTGAACGAAAATGATAGCATGTTTGTAAAAATTCCACTTTAAAATTAGCTTTATGACCCACTCATTTTAAAGTTCTTATCAGCTCTATATGGAGAAGACCAAATACTATTCTGTAAGAGGATATTGATCATAGAATTACAAATGGAATAGTCATGATGATTAGCAGAAGCTGGAATGGGAGATGGATAAGAGAAATTATACTGGAGAAGAAACATACCATTACAAAAGAAAAGAACTCTCTACTAATTGCAGGGAGAAAGAAGATGACAAGAGACTGGATAAAAAGAACACTAATTAACAAAGTACTGCTTTTTCAGTTTCTGTTTTCCCACTTCACTCTCCATACTTTTTTTTCTGATTTTCCATGTTTCTTTCCTTCCATTTGCCAGAGCAGAACTTGTTTTTTCATGTCTTGATCTAACATGAGTTAATGTTGCTCTTGCTATTTCTAGCAGGAGAGAAAAAAAACCCACTAACCTTTATCCAACTTTCAATAAGAGAAAGTAATGTTGCCCCAGGCCCAACATCAGTTAGACATTTTCTTTTCAACCAGTGTGTGATGCTGTAGCTTTTCAGCAGATATGGCTGCACTTAAAACCATTTAACAGATGTTAAAGAGTTATTTTCTCAATATATTTCTCTCTTAGTACCTGTGAAACTGTTTAGACCAAGAATTTATTTTCAAAAATTATTCAGTCTCTATAGAGCATGCAGAACTGCATGTTACTCATTCTTTTTCCCTGAACTGGGTTGATGAGCTGTTTCAACTGGAGAGAAACAGTAGTAAATAAATACTGTAGGTCTTCAGTTCTGCTATCACAAAACAGGTATGGACTTTGAGACAAATAATTGTTTGATGTTTTTCAACCATTTGATGCTGCCATCTGCCAGAATAGTATTAATACTGGACAAGACAAAGCTCCTGGGAGACCTTATAGCACCTTCTGTGACCTGAAGGGGGCCTGAAAGCTGGAGAGGAACATTTTACAAGGGCGTGGAGGGATAGTGCCAGGGGAAGTGGCTTCTGAATGGGAGAGGGTTGGTTTAAATTTGATAATAAGAAGAAGTTCTTTACTGTGAGGGTGCTGAGGCACTGGCACAGGTTGCCCAGAAGAGCTGTGGATGCCCCATCCCTGGGTGTGTTCAAGGCCAGGTTGGATGTGGCTCTGAGCAACCTGATCTAGTGAAAGGTGTCCTTGTCTGTGTCAGGTGGGTGAAACTAGATGATTTTTAAGGTCCCTTCCAACACAAATCATTGAGTGGTTCTGTGAATATTTTCCACATTCTAACACTTCAAGAAAACCATCAGTAGGCTTGCAGCATTGAGAGCAAAGGCTGAGTGTCATTTGTGGAACTTTGGGGCTGTCAAGTGACATGTGCTGAGCAAGAGGCTCCTCTTCCTTTGGCTGGGGCGGAGGTGTCTTTGCAGTGTGTGCCCAGAATGGTGCTGCAGCCTGCTTGCAGTTGTGCCAGGGTGGCTCAGACTCACAGAAGGGCCACAGCACTGTGCTCAGAAAGAGCTGACAGTACAGGAAAAAGACCTGGGGTAAATGGAGATAAAGCAGGTGAGACACTGTTACCTGCACTGAAGGGTTCTGTACAGCTGCCTTCTGCTCAGATGTCATCTCCTGCTCTCCAGCATCCCTGTCTTGTTCAGCTCTGTGGCAGGAATGCCCCAGCTCTCCTCTTGTAGTGTGCATGGTTGCAGGTGGAGGGAAGGAGCACAGACAGGAAAAGGCAGCTGGATCCCAGTGTGCAGGGGCAGGGTCCTGCTCTGCTCTTTGCACCAGTTTCTTCCTCCCACTGACCTCTGTTGGACCCTCAGTCCACCCTGATCACAGTCCACCCTCCATCCTTCCTCTCTAGATTTGCTCTTCCTGGCAGTGCTCCCTCTTTGTTCCTTTACCCCTTCCCCGTTCAGGGGCACTGAGGACAGATGTATTCCATTCTAAGCCAGACCTTACAGCTGACGGTGCCTGGGTCTGTCAGCTGGCCTTTCACAGCTCTGCCTGCAACTTCCCTTTGCTACAAGAGATTTCTAGGCCTAGAAGGTTTACTTGGACCCCAGATATAAGAGATTCCCAGTTGTGGTGGCAACAGGCAGCTCACAAGTGGCCCATTAAGCCTTGCTCCTCTTGCTTGAGTTCAGAAATCCCCAGATCTCCCCAAGATCTCCCTCTCTTGCTTTGCTGGACTCAAGGTTGCCAGTCCAGTCTGTGGCAGTGCAGTCAGCAAGAGCTCAGTGAGGCCCAATACATGGATGTGCTTGTCAGGAGACCCAGTTAAGAGGATCACAGCCCTGAAGGGTGGTGTTTGTCATGCTTGTCATAGCCATGTCCTGCCTTCTCCAGAGGTCTGGCTGTGTCTGACCTCTGTGCTCACCTTTGTAACATGCAGTACAGGAATCCTTTTTTTTTTTTTTGAGTTCCCTGAGTTGCAAGGAGCTGCAACTCAGAGAACAGCAGCTTTACTCAGCCTAATTAGGAACATATGGGGGATGCTATTAAAGCACTTGGTTCTGATGAACAGAAACATCCTTTGGATGTGAAGGAAAAATACCCCTTAGTTCTTTCAGAAATGGACCTTCCTGCACAGCAGAAATTTGAGATGTGAAGGTGTGGTGGACACCCATCATATGCAAACAGCATTGTCTTTCTGATGTTTTTCATATTGCCATGTTTAGCCTTTTTAGGGGACAAAATCAGGGTTTTTTTGCATTTTGAATTCTTGGTGATGAATGCCTCGGGTTTCCCCACCCTTAAGTGCCTCCATGGCCCCTGCAGGCCTGTGTGGGGTAGATTGCAGCATCTCTCTCCTGTCAGAAGATTTGTACTGGGGAAGTGCAGTGATGAGCGCTCTATAAAATGTGCCAGAGCTGCTAGAATGAGCAAGGGGCTTTGCATATGTCTGTGGAGGAAAAATTTGCTATAAAGAGTAAAAAAAAAAAAAAAGTTAGAAGATCATGAAAGTAGAACCATTCACATTCAATCCAACCAGACTAGACCTTGCTGAATTGATCCCAGGAATAGATGATCATTTTGACAGCTACATTTCTTGACAGATTATAGGAGGCTCAGGTTTAAGGACAGTACAATGGTTCCTCCATGACATGGGAGCAAATAACTTCAAGCAGAATTTGAGGATGGCACACAGGCTGAAGATAGAGTAAATTGCTGACTGCACAGAGCAGTCCTGGTTACCTGGCTGACTACTAACATGTGCTTCTTAGCATTTAGTTTCACTTTTTACATTTAATATTTTTTAAATGTTTAAATCTTAATAAAATTTTATCATGTGTATTTTGTATTATTGATATTTAAAATTTGAAGTGTAATGGCAGGTATTACAAAAGTCTTTTATCTTGCTGAGGGTGACAAAGCAAAGGCTTCAGCAGCTCTAAGCTGATGTGCAACCAATTCAAGCCATAATGGTGAAATGCCTTTTTCAGGGATGGTGGTTCAATATTGAAAGGGGATGTTAAAGGAATTGATTCTTTCCCAGTCACACATCATGACTGGATGAATCTGCACTTTAGCCAAGCTTACATCATGCTTGAGAAAAACACAAGTGACTTGTGTTCATATGGAGAAAGCTGTGAGAAATGTAATAGTTGATGAGGTACAGGTGGTCTGATTACAAATGGAATATCTGATTTAAGTCTGTTGTGGCCTTAAACTCAATGATTCTCCTGCTTGTTTAGGTGAGTTGGCTTAAGACTGGTAGAACAAATTTTAGAGGCATTCAGAAGCCTGAGCAGATGTGTTCCCACAGGAAACGAGGTGATTGCAGTAGACTGGAAGGGACTGAAAGATGTGGACCAAATCAATATGGACAGCACGAGTTCACTGCATGGCAGCAGCTTCCATCGACCTTCCACTGAGGTGAGTGCCTGGCCCAGAGCTAATGAGCCAAGGGGATGAGAAAGTTTGAATTCTGAGTTCAGAAATGGGTGTTGTGCATCACCGAGGCATCATCTGTGGGAGGGCTGGAATGCCAGTGAGCTCCTGAGGATCATACCTGGGCAGTTTGGCTTGCTTTGAACAGAATTGAGTCACTCCCTTCACAAGATCCATGGTGAGTAAGAATTTGCAAATGAAAGTGCTTTTTAACCAGTCATGATGGGAGTGGAACACAACATGAGAAAAACAGTGACAGTTCTGACAAGCCTGTAGGTCTGCATTCCTTGAATAAGGGATTCACATTGGAATGAATGTCCAGCACTGTGTCTGTCCCAGCTTCTGCAGCACAGCCATGAAATCTTTTGAAGAAACACATTTGTCTAAATTTTGAATTTTAGAGATGCATTCACTAATAACTCACAGACAATCGACTTGCCATGCAGTATTTTAAGGGCTGATTCATTGAATTACTGCAGCTTCTGCATTCTTGGATACCTGAATTTTCAGCTTTGTAAGGTTCAGAGTATGCAATGATAATGATTAGAAAGATAAAATCTATTTTAAATGCATAATATTTGAAGAATCACAAATACTGTTCACAAATAAGCTTAACAAATAATATACAGTTTGCAAAACCTTGAAAAATGTTGATAGGTGTACATATATATATGGTATTTTTATTTTGTTTGTGTACCTTGCTGGCTTGGAAAGCACCTTCAAGACACTTAAGAGTTTCATGGAGTCCTCGCAGGAAATGGTTGGGCCCAATCTTGTATGGAGAATTCAGTCAAATCAAAGCAGATCTAAAAGTCAACGAGCATAATCCACACCTCAGTGAACATTTTGATTTATATGAAAAGCTACCATAGGTGTAACATGAGTAATCTAAATGTTCCTGAATGTCTCCATCCCCAAACCCAGGATGTTGAGATGAGTCCTCCCAGCTGAAGGAAGCACACTCTGAGTTGGTGCTGTGATGGATGATGTGGGAAATGATTCTGGCTCGCAAGGGGCGAGTGAGTCAGAATGGACAAACCAAAACACTGCAGAAGAAAATAATTTCAGCAGAATTGAGTAGCTTGCTATAGGATACTCAAAATACAAAGGTGGTGTAGCTCCTCCTTGTGTTAACCTCAAAGTGGTGCAACCCACACTTAGGAGGAGAACCTTGTGAAAAGGTGCTTTTCTCTTTCCTACACTGTCACTCTGTTCCCTATTTCACTTTCAAACACTGTGACCCTTACAGGCACCAGCAAGGAATGAAACCATCTTGAAAGACACAAGTTTTTGAACACACCAGATAAAGTAGTGCCTGTTGATTGTGGCAAACTACTGGAGTTGCTTGGCTGCTTGCAAGTTGTTTGTTACACTGACGTGGTGCCTTTCTTTGCTTTCTTTAGCAAACACGGACGGATTTCTCCTGGGATGGTATCAATGTGAGTATGCACTGAGTCACTTTTCAAATTCCTAGTCATAGGAAGACCAGGGTTTGTCTGACATTGGATACAGCGGAGGCCAGAATGGGAACATGGCTGAAAGTCCTTCGTGCTGCTGAAATTCTGGGAGTTGTTTCCAATTCAGAGGATGGTGATAGATTTTTGTTTGCTTCTGAGTCTTTTGCTGTCTGGCAGATATTTTGATCTGTAGGTGGCTGTTGAATTGCTTTCATCCTTTTGGGGACAAATGTGTGCCATTTCATATGTTCTGTTTTTGAGATTTCTGGGCACTGCTACATAAGAAAGGTGTCCATCCAGCATATTTAAAAAAAATAGTAGTCCTTGATTAGAGCATCATTGGATCTTCTCCAGGGAGAAGTTTGGGAGAAATGTCTCCCTCATTTTCAGTTCCACACAGAAGTAACAGAATTCTTTATGTCTCCTACGGTAGATGGAGAATACCAGTTAACTTCAGTTAAAAAGCAGATGAGAAGCAAACATTTTAATTACACATGTTCCTTTTGCTCTTAAGACCTGTGCCATGAAAAAAATTTTTTTTTCTTTTTCACTAACGCAGAAACAGCATCCTGAAAAAGGAATAATGCATATTTATTCTACAGGACTTTTTTAAAGGGTACTTATAAAATATTTTCACATAAATTAACTTTATAGTTCTGTACACTTGGAAAGCCAGGATTAGCAGCCCCATTTTGAGTAGTGTAAGTGTTTTCAAATACAAAACTTTTAAAATACCTGTAGCTTTCTTCTTTACTGTGATTTGAAATCACTTGGGACATTGAATATAATTTTTATCTAATTCTCACCTCTTTCATTGTGGCACTTATGGCTTGGGATCTTTTCCCTAGAATCAATTATAGAAACAAATTGTGTTGGAAAATAATGGTGCATGCAGGAACTATCTAGAAGAAGTTTGTCTTTTTTTTTTCCTCACTGCACCTATGTCTAGCTGAAAGCAAAGTACACAAGGTCATGTTTCCTTAAAGAAAGCAGAAGACAGTTTCCTTACTTGCAGTTTCCCATTTTCCAACCCATACAGAATCCATGGAGCTCTTTCATGAGGCAGCTTTTAGCCAGGGTAATTCCATAGATCTTCTTTGGTACCGAAGCTGGATTATGAATTTCCTTCCCTTCCCATTCATTCCTGCCTTCATGTCACAGCTCTTCAACCTTGCAGTAGTGGGAGCCCTCTGCAATTTACCTTCTTTTTTGGATGGGTTCCATGAGGCAGCTCACAGCACAGCCCCCAGGCTCTCCTGGAACAAGTGGTGGATACTGAGCAGGAGCACCTGGGCAGGAATGACCAGTGGGGGCATAGATGGACTTCCTCCAACAAGCTTCATCACCAAAGGAAATGCTTCATGGAACAAGGGCTGTGCTCTCACTTTTTACTGTTCTTCCTCTGCTTTCTGATTTCTTCAGCTCACATTGCACACACAGCATGTTCCTGCCTCCACAGTTACAGGATGCCTTAGCTGCTGCATTTACACTCAGTTTCCAGAAAATCTCACCTCTCATATTTTGGCAACTGACTGGAATTATACACAGTGTGAGATCTTTACAATGCCTTCCTTTGCCTCCAGTTATTTCACTGCCCAGTTACTGCTCCACTCACTTTTTGTGAGGTCCAAGTGCTTGTTTTCTGTCAGGATTTAAAATTTTCAGTGTCATAGTCACTACTTTCGAGTATCCTTGTGTTTGAAACATTCTGGCCTTGATTTTCAGAGAGGTTGAAATGAAGAGCAGAAGCAATGTTTATTTAGCCCTTGTGAAAGTTAAGCCTCATATGCAATGCCTGGCATCTCTGAAGGAGCCTGATGAATTCATCTTGAGAGATTATTTTTGTGATGATGTTTGTGACGGCTGCCTGTCCCAACAGTGCCCTGTCCTTGTTATTCAGGGACTGAGGATAAACACAGAAAAGGCAGTCAAGAAAATTAAGCAGAGCTGTAGAGCTGTAGACCAAATTTCTTTACAGATGTAGGTGCTTGAAACAGGACTCATCACTGATATAGTCATGATCATTTTATTAAGGCTATATAAGAAGAAAAAAAACCAAAGTACCAAAAAATTGGTAGTACGATGCATATATGATACATTACTGTGGCATGCCTGTTGCACTGACAGCTCCCCACTGCAAGATCCCTGAATTGTCCAACAGCCATGTCTTGCATCTCTAACAAAGAGTTGGGAATGGTGCAGCATGTTTGTGGAGGGCTGGCAGCTGCCAGGGAGAGGCTTCTCACAGCCTCTTTCTGCCTCTCCCTCTGGCCTTGCCTCAGTCAGTCCCAGTGCTGTGCAATATCGAGTCCTGGTTAAACAGCCTCTCATTTTCCTTTCCTTCTTTTGTTCTTACTGCTTGCTTCTGCTCCTCATCTTCCAACTACCTGCTGTTTTCTCATTTCAGTTCACTTCCTTTTCTCCTTCCTGTATATCATTTCTTCATATTCTCTCTCTTTTCAGCTCTCCATGGAAGATACGACCTCCATCCTTCCCAAGTTGAAACGCAACTCCAATGCTTATGGGATTGGGGCTTTGGCTAAATCATCTTTCTCTGGTGAGGTCCTCAAAATTTGACTTTATCCTTGGCAGCTTCTCTCCACAGGCCTTTGTGCCTCTTCCCATATCTCTGTCACTCTCACAACTGCTCCTTTCTGGCTTTCACCTTTTCATGGCCTTAGAGGAGTCTCCAACACCATGGTTCTAAATACAGAAATCTCACAGTTGTTGCCCTTTTAAAGAACAGATTTGTCTTACTCTTGTTGGCTTCTCACTGTGCACCCCTGCTCAGACATCTTCAATTGCTTCCCCTCAGTCTTGGGTTTAACCCCCTTTTTTGTTTCTTAGTTTGTTCACTTCCAGGCTTCATCCTTCATGCCCAGCTCTATCCTAAATGGATTCTAGGCAAGGAAGGAAATGGTCTTTCATATTTGGGGTTTCCCTTTTTCCCCCTTCTGAGAGTTTGTCCAGGGAAAGATGGAGAAACTCCCCTGGAGAGTGACGCAGTGAAAGGTGGGAGACACCCAACCCTAGTCACGCATCCTGTCAGGACAGGAGGGGAGAAGCTCCGCTTCTGAGAGAAGCAAAATCCCCGTCGGAAAGCACCGGAGCTGTGTAATAGCCCTGCCTTGTTTCCCAATGTCTGGCCCCTTAGGGATATCCCGCAGCATGAAGGACCACGTGACGAAGCCGACGGCCATGGGGCAGGGCCGCGTGGCGCACATGATCGAGTGGCAGGGCTGGGGCAAGGCGCACAGCCAGCAGCAGCAGCACACGCACGAGAGCGCGCGCAAGGACGCCGACGCCTACTCGGACCTCAGCGACGGCGAGAAGGAGGCCCGCTTCCTCGCAGGTAGCCGTGCCTGCCTCCTGGCACCTGCCTGGGGTCGGTCGGGGGGCCCCCAGGGGGGAACCCCTGAGAGATTCCAAAATGCAGAAGCTTGAGAAGAGCACTCGGAAGAGGCTGAAGTAGAGAGAGACTTTGGTGGTTGGGATATTGCCAGTGGAATGCAAGGTGGAGAGGGTGAGGGTCAGTTGTGGGTGATGGGTGTTGCCGAGATAGGACCAGAGTGGGACAGTGTGACCAAAAGATGGGGTAAAGGATGATGGTGAGAAGTGGAGACTTTAATGCATTTTTGCTTCCCTTCCCTGTCTCCTTTGGCCCAGGGGTGATGGAGCAATTTGCTATTTCTGAGGCGACTCTCATGGCCTGGTCCTCCATGGATGGTGAGGATATGAGTGTAAACTCAAATCAGGACAACCCAGCAGGCAACTACTCTGAGAACTATCAGGAGCTGATGGAGAGCCAAGGTGAGTTCTAGTGCTTCTTGCTAATCTTAGACACCCGCTTCCTGCTCTGGTTGCTCTCTTTTGCTCTACTCTGTTTTATTCTGTAGCCCCAGTCAGATCTCCTAGAGTCATCCCTGTTTGTGGAGCTGTCCAAGGAATCTAATCTTAGCAGAGAGTTTCCAAAGCCCAGTTCCTTTTGCCTTTTTGGAGCACAACTGTGGAAAACTACCAGCTCTTGCAGTCAGTTGTGGGTATCAAGGTCACCTGCCAACTGCCCAGAACTGTGTTTTCTCTTTGCCCTCCTTGCCTCTAAAGGTGGATTCACCCACCTTGTGCAGTACAGTGCCATGCTCAGGCACACAGGCTACCAGGATGAGCCAGCCTGGCCTAGGGAGAGTGTCTAACTGTGTGTTGTTTGCCTCCTTTGCTTGCAGAGCACATGGCCCAGACGCAGTATGACAGCTGGCCTCACTCCTACGTCTCGCAGGGCATGTACTGCTTAGGCTCCTCCGACGCCTGGGAGGCCAGTGACCAGTCCCTCATCGCCTCCCCAGCCACTGGCTCCTACCTAGGCCAGAATTTTGATGAGTCCCAGACAAACCTTCAGGAAAGCATTTTGCTTCAGAGCAGCTTTCTCCAGCAGCAGCAGCTGCAGCAACAGCGGCAGGAGCAGAACTTCATCCAGAGCACGGGGCTGGTCCACGTGTGGCCCCTGCAGACTGCTCAGGGTGGGGGTGGAGCTGAGTCCAGCACGTACATGGAGGACCACATTGAGGATGAAGGGAACCCAAGGCTGGAGAAGGCTCCTCTCCTAAACAAGAAGCCCTCTCCAGAGGAGGATGATGCAGTGTGCCGGGACCTGGAATCTTTGTCTCCTCGAGAGGAGATGGAACATGCTGCACTGAGCCGCAAAGTCTCAGATGTCACCTCCTCTGGGGTGCAGTCCTTTGATGAGGAAGAGGGAGAGACAAACAACTGATGCTTTCTGTGAAATACTCATCATTGCTGAACAAAGAGAGGGGTGGCAAGGAATGCAATGACAGGGATTCTTCTCTCCAGCTCCCCATATTTCCAGGCAGACACACCTTCCATTCCTGACATTTAATTATTTTTTTAAACGAGGAAAATGTCAAAGTGATTGACACATAAAAACCTTTTCTTCCCCTCCCCCATGGACACATATTTTGGATTTTCATTGCTCTGGGCAACATGTGATGTGCTTGGAGAGATCTGGATTGGTAAATAATTTCTAAGTCTTTTTAATACAAAGTCTTGGCTGTGGATACAAACTCTTCTGGTACTGGGGATGTGGCTGATGAGACAGGCTTGGTTTAGGGAGCAACTTTGTGGCTAGAATTCATCTTGGCAGAATGGATGTTGCTCTGTGGACGTGGCCCCCTTCTATTTCATAGAATATATGAATATAAACTGGTTTAAAATGAAGCTGTGGCTTTGCAGATCTAGATTGCACTAGCGTTGGGATTGTGGCTGATGCAGAGGATCAGGCCATGGAAGATGTGCTGTGTAACCAGATCCTCAGTAGCACCTTGATACAAGCTGTAGGGTTGATGGGTACGAGCTGTGCTCCCAGAGCCTGGGCTGTGCTGCCAGAGTGGCTCTGTGGGCACGGCTCTGCTGTGGCGTGGAAAAATGGGTGCAGATACAAACCTAACCCTGCTCTCAGATATTCATGCTTTGGTCTCTTCCGTTTGTTTGTTTCTCTCTTTGACATTTTTGCCTTTCCAGGAGCTGGCAAGAGCGGTGTGTCCTTTTGGCAGTGGGCACTGGAAGCCAGTGGAAAGGACATTTTCAGCAACAGAGACAGTCATAAAAAGCTGACTCTTGCAGGGGGCTTGAGGACATGCCCATCTTGGTGCTGCTGCTGTGTCCTTCTGTCTTTTCCTTGCCAGCAGAATGGGGAGACCCAGAGAGTAGGCAGCAGGTCCAGGAACAGTGCGTACAGCTATGAGATCACAGATACCTAGTTTACATTAGAGTTTTCAGTTTTTGCACTTTTTTTTAACCTTTTTATATTCTGGATAAGTGTTCATAACAAAGCAGTTAGTAATGGGAAAGGCCTGTACTCCAGTCATGACTTAACAGAAATACTGCACCTCTCCCATTTCTGCCACTCCTGCAGTGCCAAATATAGCTGGATGAAAAGGGGTGAGAGGAAATTTTCTCCTCCTATTTGTCTTCTTCTTCTTCCTGCCTATGTTTTCTTCTTTTGTTTTCCTACCCCCAAGCAGTGTAAATAATGCTCAATAGTTGGTCTGTTTGTTTTTCCCTCCCATCTCTTTTTTAGGTGTGGAGAAATCTGATTTCAGGAGTTTCCCGTATTTGTACGGGGTATATATTTTTTGTTTAAAAAAAACATGATTCTCTGATTAGGGGGAATTTGGTCTCTTGCAATTCCTCACCATTTTTTTCACAGACCTCCTTTTGGGAGGGAGAGGTTTTGAAAGGAAATTGTTTCACTTTCAGCTCTCACCAGAAAATAAACAGGGACAAAAGCAAAAATTATATAAGATTATTGATTTTGCTGGAGGACTGAACAGAACCAGCAGAGATTACCCGAGTGCTGAGTTTTAATTGCAAGACCTCTTGCAAGGAAGCATCAGCAGAGCATGGGTGTAGATCAGATGCTGGATCTGATGAGTTATAGAAAGGAATTTGCCTGGACACTGCCATACTGTTCCAGGAGCAACTCTTTTCTCACTTACTCTGACTCATATTTGCTCTGTTTAATTCATGATACATTTGTCTCTTCTTTGCCTCCTCTTCAGGCTTGGTGTGTTTTTTGGATGACAGGAGAGTGATACATGCTTCTTTCCTGCTTCAGGTTCAGTTCCTGCATATTTCCAGGGAAGAATGTCTAAGGCGAGCAAAATGTCACTGAAGGAATATCATCAAGTCTCAGAGTTTAGACAGCTCCTGGCAAGCAAAGCAAATAATGTCCAGGAATTGTGAAAAGTAGGAATGGGACTCTCAGGAAGAACTTTACCCCAATCAGCTTTTTCCCCACTGACATGGGCAGCTGCAAAAAGAGGGACTCCTTTTTCAATACCCAGGTCTTTCCAGCCAAGTCCACTTCAAGCAGATCTGTCTTCCCTCTCCATTGCACCTCTAAATGAAAGACCTCTGGGATGTTTAAGTTACACTGGTAATTTGGTGTAGGTAAGAGAGAAAAGTTTTTGTGACCCATGTTTTTTTACCTGTTTGCTTGGTCTTGCTTCCTTTCTTTCTAAGGAGGTCGCTCTTCTCCTGAGTGATGAGCTTTCAGTATCTCTTCAGAGATGTTTACACATTCAGGTACTAACCTCCCCTGGGCACAAAAGCTTGATAAAAATCATCTCCTATAGTTCTTGCAGGGCCAGTGGTAGCTCATTGTCCTGAACTGGCTTGGGTCCAGCTGTAGAGCAGGGCCTGGGAAAAGGAGATGGGGCAAGTGCCCCATCTAGGCAGAAGTGCCCCATCTTTTTCTAGCCAGAAAAAGGAGATGGGGCAAGTGCCAAGAGCACTTCAGCAGATGAGTAAATGAGTAAGTTTAAACCTATTTTTATTTCTCTTTTAAAAGGTCTTTAGGGAAACGAAAATGGGTTGGCGTGTACCTTTGTGGGAGATTTGGGTGGCTTGTTTGTTTCTTTCTCCAAACCATTTTGTTCCCATGTGCCTCTCCAGGACCAATCTGGATGTTTACAGTAACTTTCAGAGTAGCTTCTGATCATCCCTTTGTGTTGTTTACAGGACTGGGACAAGTTGGTCAACTTGTCCAGGGCTTCTTTTTCTTTAAGATGGTCATGTGGTACATTTACTAAGATGTCTGATTGATGTCTAAAAGATACACCTTATCTCCATGGAAAGCAGTGACAGGGAGTTATCTGCATAAGGAAAAGTGTGAAAAAAATTGACCATATAGAAAATTCTGTGGAGTCCAATAGGAAGAGAAAATCTGTAGATTCTTCTAGTCTCTGTGGAATTGGGATAAAGAATTATACCCTGCTTTATTGTCTTATAACCTGCTGTCTTAGAAACTGGTAGAGAGCCTCATTCTCTGTGAATGCAGACTGGTTTGAACACCACTCTCTGTAAAAACCTTCCAGCTTACTAAATTCTGTAATTTTTTTTCCTTAAATGACTTAACATTCTGTGAACAATAAAATTTCAACCTTTTCCTGAAAGAAAGAAAAAGGCTATTTTGCATACCTCTCCACAGTCCAAAAGAGCTAATTGCTAGGAGTCTGACTAGAGAGAGCAGGTCTTCCAGTTCACACTTGCCACCCGAGTGAGCAGCCTGAGCTGAACTGGAAAGGCAGTTTGAATCTCTTTGAAAGTGGAAAATTGTTTGTGTAATCTGGCCCTTTCTTACATAACAGGCCTGCTGCCTGTGTGTATCCAATACCAGCGAGAGAGACCTGGAACCTCCTGTACATTTCCCAGAAAAGCTGTTATTATATAGATACACCTATTCAAGCATATGGGAGGCACAGGTGCTCTGTGAGCAAAATTTGGCCTGCAGTCCCTTTATCGTGGTGAGGAGGGATGAGTTGGAGAGAGTCCAGCCAAGTAGTCAGAGCCCAAATTGTGTTTGTGAGGCTGTAAATAAGAAGGAAAGGTGAGCTCAGTATCCCTGATCTGCAGTTACTAAGAAACTGAGCTCTGCTGTTTGTTGCCACAAACCCATTATGAAGCAAAGCTGCACTACAGAAAAATTTGGATATTCTTGAAGTAGTGGAGATAGAAGATTTCCATCTTTCCTCCAAGCCTTTGTTCTTCAGTAGGAACTTGTTGAAATTACTGTGCTAAACATGAAATAAGGCTTAACCAGAAGTGACCCTAATTTAAAATCTTCTGCTGGAAGAAAATTCTCTCTTGTTCCTTCTCCCATGATTGCTCATACCTGATTAGTTATACTCTTTCATAAGCTTTTCTTTTGTATAAATCTGAAGCTTTCTTTACAAGCCGTCTGGGTTCTCTTCAATTCCATTACCTCAGGCTCTGAGACAGAGAAGTTTATCTGCTTCTTTCAGTTTTTGTGCCTCTAAATCATCATCTTCTTCTGGAGAGCTGCTGACAAGTCATCCGCTTGCTTTTCCCCCTTAAAAATGGTAACATCACCTTTCAGGACAGGCTTGCTGCAGAGAGCAAGTTTAGCAATGCTTCTAGGCTGATCTCGTGGTGAGCTGCTTTGAAGGAAGAGGAGCTCTGCTCTGACCATGCTCACCTCCCACAACCCTTGGGCAGGTGCTGATGCACAGCTGGCCCACACCAAGCCAGCGACTTTTACCCTGCTATAAAAGTGAAGATGGAAGAGCTGTGAGCAGAGGAAGAGAGAGTGCTGTTCTCAGCAGCTGGCCTTCCTTTATATCAGGTTGGAGACACTGGGAAAGTGCACTTTGAAATGGCATCTTCATTATGAGTCTAAGCTGCTCAAAGGAGCTGTCCTGCCTCCTCTCTTCCACCACCACCAGCTCTGTACTTCTACTGCCTAAAAAGCACCAGCACTAACACTCATTTTCAATGGGGCTCAGGAACTGGCCCCATTGAAAACTAACCCAGTCCCCTACCTAAATAAAGGTTTCAGTGAGGTGAACTCTTCATATTGCTTCTCTTGGTGAGGCAGGCATCACTGAGGGCTGGTGAAATGTGTAGATGGTCGTGTGGAAGACTGGTTGCAGATGCAACTTAAGTTGGCTTAAGCTGATTGTGGTATGTCTGTCTGAAAAGAATAAGATGCGCTGGGGTACCAAGAAGGACAATATTCCCCATTTTCTTCCTTAGTGTTTTCCTTGGAATTTTTAGTATGCTCTTACTTGATTTGGTCTTTGTTATTTATGCCCTGTTGTTTCCCTCACTGTTCCCTTCCACAGGCCCCTTTGAGGTAAAGCCTGGAAACTGGGCAGGAAGACATGAGTAACTTGATATATGCATGAAATTAATAAAATTAACATGCACAAATCGTGTATGCACTCAGTGATCAAACTCCATGGCAGCTAAAGATACTGACAAGTCTTATCCTGTAATTGCAAGAGGGGAGACTTGTTTAAGAGTGAAGAATAGCTGTTGGGAGGGTTATTTATCCCTATTTTCAGGCCAGTTCCAGTCCAATGTGAGATACAGAAGAGTACTTCACACCTAGGCAGAGCCTGTGCCTGCTGTACTGTGTACAGCAGCAATGAAAAATGTTAGTTGTTGCCCTGGAGAACTGGAGAAGGAAAGTCATCTCTCTGTTTGACAGAGGTAGGAGGTGTTGTGGTGAG